TATAAGTGGTTCGTCGTGACCACGAATCTAACAGAGTTTAATGGGAAAAAAACGACATACGTGTCTATAAAAATCTGGCCATGCACTTAAAAAATATATAAATGAAGTATGTTGCACACATCCCACGAGACGCACGTGCTCTCCTGGAAGCGCTTCACTTCAGCAGCAACAATGCAAGCAAACTCTGGACTGGCTTCAACATTCAGGTGTCTCATCAGCAACGCCACGAGGCTTGCTTGAGCCCCGATGCTGGCGAACTGACAGATCGTTCGATGTGGGTCGTCGTTTCGTAATACGCGACACAAAAAAATAAAAATAATAACCACGGGAAAAACTGACGTCGTTGTTGAGAATATAACAACAAGGATGTAGAAGACCCGACAGCACAGGGTGGGGAACCTTTATTCTGCCAAGGGCCATTTGGATGTTTATAACATCATTCGCGGGCCATACAAAATTATCAACATAAAAATGTGCCTGTTCTTCTTGGTTCTTTCGGTAAAGTCACGTAGAAGGGAAATAATAAAATAATAAAAATAAAACATAATAAAATACAATTCTCACGGACGCTGTCTTTCCGACAGACCTGTTCTTCACCTGAGGACGGCTGCGTGCGTTGTGGCCGAAACGTCGTGAGAATTGTATTTTATTATGTTGTATTTTTATTATTTTATTATTCCCCTTCTACGTGACTTTACCGAAAGAACCAAGAAGATGAATCCCTGCAGTCACGAAAGCTTTAAATCGAAACATTTGCCTGTTATATTTGGTCAAACATTTAATTAACTCACCCCTAATGTGATGGGTGAAACTGCTTCTCTTTGGTGAGGCGTGTGATGATGTTGGCTGGTATTGATGATATTGCTACTCGCAACTGCTTTTCCAGGTTTGCTCCTAGATTTATTGAATTTCGAGTCCCGCCTGCGGTTGCCTTGGCAGGGCCAAACCCAATGATTTCGCGGGCCTTGTACAGCCCACGGGCCGGACGTTCCCCACCCTGCCCTACAGCCTCCGCCGTACATCTCTCCACGGAGACACACAAACAAATATGCACGCAACATTGAAAAGACCCGTCAACCCCGGCAGGAGCCACTGCACCAGCCTCTCCCACCGAACCTCCTGCGACGGTCACTCGGGAACGGACTCGATCTGCTCGTGCGCATGTCCACGTTTGACCTTCGGTCTACGACTCCATCACGCGCAATGTGGCACCGCAGTGGTGACTCTTGACATCGCGGGGTCAGCAAGGGTCACTCACAACGGGCAGCAACTTGCCTCTTTTTTCGATTTAAAGCTTTCGTGACTGCAGGGATTCATCTTCTTGGTTCTTTCGGTAAAGTCACGTAGAATGGAAATAATAAAATAATACAAATAAAACATAAAATAATTCTCACGACGTTTCGGCCACAACGCAAGCAGCCGTCCTCAGGCGAAGAACAGGTCGCTGTCTTTCTGACGGACTTGTTCTCCACCTGAGGACGGCTGCTTGCGTTGTGGCCGAAACGTCGTGAGAATTATTTTATTATGTTTTATTTTTATTATTTTATTATTTCCATTCTACGTGACTTTACCGAAAGAACCAAGAAGATGAACTTGCCTCTTGTTAATGCTTCCCCACTTGGTAGGGGTGGTGGGTGAATATTGCGAGTTAGCCCTGTTTGTCTCCAACAGAAGGCGCACAATTATTATATCCACAATAGCGGAGGTTTTATTTATTTGCGGGGGGAGGGGTTAATATAAATGTGTCATTAAACGCGTCTGACGAGCGTGTCGCCTGATAATGCTGCTGATCGTTGTAATTACCGGCGAAACCTCACCGTACTAGAATGGTAAATGTTGTCGTGGGTTTATTCTCCATCACACAATGCTGAGCGCTGAACTAGCAACGAATTGGCACGTTTTGTTTACGTGACAAACCCCTTACTCGTGGGCTGTGTCGGTTCTAGATTTGAAGCTTTCGTGACTGCAAGGATTCTTACTCTTAGGTTTATTCGGTAAAGTCACGTTGGTAAAAAATAATAATTTAAAAAGGGCACAGTTATTTTGCTGTGCCTTTTTACACCTGATGAAGGAAGCTTGTGTTGCCTCCGAAACGTCGTGATTTAATTGATTTATTTTCATTTGTTATTATTTTATGATATTATTTTCTTATGTATTATTTTCTACCTACGTGACTTTACCGATAAAACCTAAGAGTATGGCTGTGTCGGCTTGGCGGCGGGTTTAACGGCACATTTATATTATTTACGCGATCTATCTAGAAAATAACCTCGATTATGGATGACTATATTGGTCGCGAAACCCTATTTCTACTACGTGTTAAACTGACTAACAATAAGTATCGTTTGAAACCCTACAGCAAACCTGGCCTGGGGGTAAGTCACAGGTACGGGTTTAATCCCGACACGTGGCCGAGTGTGATCCGGACACTCCAGGAATCGGCATCTGCGTACCGGGGGTGGCAGGGGTTGCCTTGTGTGCCGAGATCTGGCACCGGTATTGCCCTGTCGTGTTGTGTTGTGCTGAACTTCAATACAGGAGACCGCACAGCATTGATGACCTACTCACTCACCCACCCACTCACCTACTCACTCACTCACCTACTCACTCACTCACTCACCCACTCACCGACTCACTCACCCACCCACTCACCTACTCACTCACCCACCCACTCACCTACTCACTCACCCACCTACTCACTCACCCACCCACTCACCTACTCACTCACCCACCCACTCACCTACTCACTCACTCACTCACATACTCACTCACTCACTCACCCACTCACCCACTCACCCACTCACCCACTCACCTACTCACTCACCCACTCACTCACCCACCCACTCACCTACTCACTCACCCACCCACTCACCGACTCATTTGCTCACTCACCCACCCACTAATTTGCTCACTCACCCACTCACTCACCTACTCACTCACCCATTCACCCACTCACACATTCATTTGCTCAGTCACCCACTCATTCACCTACTCACTCACTCACCCACTCACCTACTCGCATACTCACTCACCCACCCACTCACCCACTCACCCACTCATTTTCTCACTCACTCACCCACCCACTCACCTACTCACTCACCCACTCACACATTCATTGGCTCAGTCACCCACTCATTCACCTACTCACTCACTCACCCACTCACCTACTCGCATACTCACTCACCCACCCACTCACCCACTCTGCTTGCCACCTGTCCAGATTTGACCGGAACGGTCCAGGAATTTGGCATCTGTGTGTCTGGCGGCAGGAATAGATTTGTTCCAAGATGTATGGTACCGGTGTCGGCTGCGTTGAGCTTTAGTGCAGGAGACTGCGTTGTTGTTGATAAATAATCGACCTGGGTCTGACTGAGAGACGTGACTGGGTTTGGTCTGCGGTGAAAACGCTGGCAACCCCTCCACGTGCCCCACGGGTTGAGAATGTTGTTCTAAACCCTTCGCTTGAGGCACTACCAACATTATTATAATCAGCGGCAGCTATTATCTCTCCACTGCTGGATGAAAGCCTCCTATTCAAGAAGTCAGACCCCCTCCCCTCAAATATGACGTCACAAAGCTCTGCCCCCCCCACCCCCCAAAACCATATTTCCATTTAAAAAATAAAAATGCTTCAAATCGCTTTAAACTAAACTATTGTCATTGTAGTGCGTATTTAATGTGGCGCTGCACTCCGATGTTGTAGGAGTGTTGTTATAACAATGAGTGTTGTTATAACAATTATATATTTATTTAAAGCTGCGCATTTTGATGTGACGTCACGTTTCTCAACCCCCCCCCCTCTGACCCCCCCCTCCAGGTGCGTGACGTCATTTATGAGGGGTTTAAGAAATGTGACGTCACGTCAAAATGCGCAACTTTAAATAAATATAGACAACACGTTCTACTTTAATTAAATAGACTTTTTAATAAATGTTTTCTCCTACAACATCAGAGTGCAGCGCCACATTAAATACGCACTACTATGACAATAGTTTAAAGCGATTTGAAGCATGTTATATTTTGGGGGGGGAGGGGGCAGAGCTTTGTGACGTCATATTTGAAGGGGGTCTGACTTTTTGTGACGCCGTGCGACGAGGGGGGGGGGGGGTCAAAAATCGTCCAAAATCGCGTGACGTCATTTATGGACGGCCCCATTCCCCCACGTCCACGTCGCTGCTGCACGTCAATGGGAACCAAGGCGACGACGTTTCGGACCACGGACCTTATTCGCAACGAATAGGCAGTACGGGGTTTGTTCAGATTCGCATTTATCGCGAGACAGAAGTTTGGTAAATTGATATCGCGATATAAAATATCGTATGTCGCTTCATATTTTACTTATATTTTTATATGTATATTTAACATATTATATATTTAATATTATATATATTTTTTTATATAACGATATATTGTATACATCGCGATATAAGTTTTTATATATTTTTTATCGCGATAAAAGTTTCTTAAATTTATATCGCGATATAAAATATTTATGTCGCTATATATTATACATATATAATTATTTTATATGTTTATTTTACATGTACATTTTATTTCGCGATATCAAATTACTACACTTATTTCTCAACATTTAAATATTTTTTTTACTTAATTTCACGTCGTAAATAGTTTTTTCGCCAGTAAAAGAACCCACTGTATTTATATATTCAAGGCAAATAAAAGCACCAACGATAATCGCGCCATAACGATTCTTTACGATAGGGTTATCGTGGAAGTTATATCGCACGATATATCGCGGCGAGGCGATATCGCCCCTCCCCGACGCGTCAACGTCGACCCTCATTTGCATAATTTATGCAAGCCGCCCGCCAACTTTGCATAAATTATGTTAATTACGTAAACAAACAGCGGTGACCAATGGGAAGCCCGGGTCTTGTACTTCACCTCAAAATCCCTACAACGGATAAGAGACCGGGCGGCCAGGGCCACCCCCGGCTTCCTATTGGCCCAAAGCCTCCCGCCCACGTGACCTTCACAGCCCATGCGTGGTGCGAAATCTAAACCGCGGCCTTCTGGCAGCCGCGCATTTTCCTTGGCACCGTGACCGCCTCCGACCCCGGCTTCGCATTGCAACCCTCGGCCCCGTCAGCTCGAGTTGCGGGGAGACCCCTCGCTCATGCCCGCAGAGTAAGAGGGCGCCGCTCGACACACACACACACACACCGCTGAGGCGTACGTAGGCTTCGTGAGATGTTGACTACCTCGCCTGGTGTACAGGAGGTCGTGGGTTCGACCCCGACCCTGACGATGCGTGCTGCTGTATATTTAGAGTTTGCGTTTCTCTCATCATCATCACGGTGGCTATGAGATGTTAACTACCTCGCGTGGTGTACAGGAGGTCGTGGGTTCGACCCCGACCCTGACGCCTGCTGCTGTATATTTGGAGTTTGCGTGTCTCTCTCTCTCTCTTATCATCATCACGGTGGCTAGGAGACGTTGACTACCTCGCCTGGTGTGCAGGAGGTCCTGGGTTCGACCCCGACGCCTCTTGTATACTTAGAGTTTGCGTGTCTCTCACTCTCATCATCATCACGGTGGCTAGGAGATGTTAACTACCTCGCCTGGTATGCAGGAGGTCGTGTGCTCTACCCCGACCGTGACGCCTGCTGCTGTATACTTGGAGTTTGCGTGTCTCTCACTCTCTCATCATCATCATCATCATCACGGTGGCTAGGAGATGTTAACTACCTCGCCTGGTGTGCAGGAGGTCGTGGGTTCCATCTCGGCCCCTGACAACGCCTGCTGCTGCTGTATATTTGGAGTGTGCGGTCTCTCTCTCTCTCTCCCCGTGGTCGCGTGGATTTTTTTCCCGGGTCCGCTGGTTATTTCTTCGCCATGTTTAGAATCAACACCACGTGTTTTAGAGTCTTCTCGTTGAGCAATCATTTGTGGTCGGGTCGCTTCTGAATAAGAAGACCCACTGAGGGTCTTAAACAGGTAAAATACAATAGTTTAGTTAAATTTATGTGTGTTTTAGTGATTTACTTAGCTTCCTATACTTGGCATTCCTGTTGCATTTGTTGTTGTAACGTTGTGAACCACCCCGACTGGACATCTGTGAAAAAGAGCTCCTCGGATTACTCAAGTATTCACACATATTCTCATTCTGAAGGCGGGGAGAGCATAGACGTGGCATCATAGGAGTACCGTACAACAATTGCTGTCTTTCCGTGTCGTCCTATGCCACTCAACACATAGCCTCGCAGCCTATAACACATTGACTTATTATGCATGCTGGTTGACCATCCAAGCACTATCCAGGCAAATTTCCTGCTTGGCTTCTTGCTAATCTGACATGAGGCGCATTTGGCTGCAGGCGGATATGTTGTGGTAAGTCGTCGGGGCAATGACTTGGCTGTGGTAGTGCTATAATGTGGCGCCACAAAGTGATCTCAAAGTCTTTTAACAACGACGTTCTGAGGAATTGGACGCGTCCGATAGGATGTCAACAAGGCGGAGATGGAACGATGGATGATTATTACATCGTTGGATCATACAAAGTAATGGCAGCTGCGGCTTAGGGTGGCGGTCATCCAGCAGTGGATTAAGCATGGCCAATGATGATGATGATGAAGGAAACTCCACGCTCGTGTCCCTAAACCACCAGAGTTTGTTTTCTGCCTAAATCGTTAACTAAACTTCAAACATTGTCGGGACGAAAGCCAATATAAACAGAATTCCTGTCTGTGCCTCCGCACACAAAAATGTTTTAGCCCATCAGCCTATTGGCTTTCCAGATCAATATCAGGCTGAATGTGTTGCTCATAAATATTCCCACTGTTTATATCGAGACGTTTAATACAGCCGCATTGCACTGATTGGTCTGTGCGAGTCTCTGGGTCTCTCGTAAGTCTATGGGTTGCTGTTTCTGTACAGCCTCTTGAGATGTGGGTGCATGTAAATGGTACAGGTAGGAACAACAGGTTCCACACTGCCCACCAGGGATTATTTGTCTGTCTGTCGTGCATATTTGTCTGTCGTGCACGAATGCGCTGTCCAACCAAGTTCCTACCTGCCCACTTCGAAGGAACGTGTTATATGAAGGCACGTTCTGTTTTATTTTATGTAACGAATCTGACCCTTGTCTGGACTCTGATCCCTGTGATTCCTTGCAGCCCACACGATGTCCAACTCGCTGCGCCATGAAGTGATACAGCTCTACAAACAGGTCAGCAATGAGGGGGAGCATCTTCAGCGGTGGATTGAGCACAGCTGCCTTTAGAGAGGCGGTTGTGAGTTCTGGACGTCGCTAGTTTAAAAAAAACTAAACACCGAGACACCCGTTGTTGCGTTACGGATGCAGTACCAGTGTGATTTGTTGCAATACTTCCCGCTTGTAAAATGTGTCGGCCGCGAGCAGCTGCTGTACCTGGGGCGCGAGTACCCCAAGGGTGCCGCCTACTTCCGCGACCGCCTCAAGCGCTCGTTCCAGCGCAACGCGGACGAGCGCGACCCGGAGAAGATCCGCGCGCTGCTGGAGCGCGGCCGCTACGTGGGGCGCGAGCTCGAGGCGCTCTACCACGTGCGCAAGTACCGCGCCCTCAAGCGCCGATACTACTACGACGACACCAGAGCCGGCGGCGTCGGCGGTACCGGGGGCCGTGGCACCAGCGATCAGGACTGACGGCGCTCGACCGATTGGTGGTCGCCGGTGGTGTTCGGCGGGAGGGGATCGGGGTTCGGTGGTTCGGTGGTTCGGCAGAAGCGTTTGGAGTTGCGTGGGTTTGATTCCCGGCGATCGTTTGGGATTAGGTGGCAGAGACAATGTTGTGGACGTGGTGACTTGATATGGACACTGTACGCACCTGATCCTTGTCGGACATTCACCACTCGCCTGACCCTCGCCAGCCACCAGTTCATACAATAGTGGGACGTCCGTTGAAATTCAATCGATAAGCAGCGCTACGGCCAGTAACCACAGTTTTTGGGTAAGAGGTCAGATATTTGTGTAATTCTGACCTTGTTTCCTTAAACTGCATAAACATAAACATCACAAGATTTTTAATGCCACCTTCACGTTATAGGTGGAGCGGTTTATGATGACATATCCCGAAAAACATATGTACATGTAAATAGTATGCATGTATGTTGAACTTATTTTGCGCCGTACGTAGCCAACCGTGTTAAACGGACGTGCGGGGTAAGGACAACAAACTAAACAGACAAAAAGTGACTTTTATAAAAATATACTCTTGTGAGTTGGATCGCACAGATAGTGGACTTTTTGTCCGATGCATATGACAGCATCTTCAGATGGGATTGCATTTTACTTTATAAGCCCAACGTGTGAATGGGGTGTTAAACCCTTGTTGCCACGGTGGATCCTCTTTACGAATTGGCAAAAATGTGTTATTTGACGGATGTCCCTGGAAAAACTTGATGATCCATCTGCATTTAAGATCATTTAAGTGAGCTACATTGGAAAACTGTCATCGACTTTTGATAGTTTATATTGTATCATCTCCCCACAGATGGACACAGATGGATCACTTTTTTCCATTGACTTAATCCACCTCTCAACTGACGCCAACTACTTACTGGACCATGAGGTGGTATGGGTTCTGGAGTTGTTCCCGGGAAACCCGATCAAGTAATTGAATCACGGGAGGGAGTGAATCGTCCCAGTTGTGCCAGCAACTTGCTCAACAAGAGACTCCAGATTAATCGCGTGTTTGCTGACACCAACATTTTAAACTCCAGATCTCAGCACCGCCACCTCAATGCTTGACAGTGTTAACCTCCTATCAGAGGTCGCAACCGGGTACCCGATACCCGTACCCTGCCCGATACCCGGCTACCCGTACCTGGCCGGGTACGGGTACAGGTACCCGTTTGCGACCCTGGTGCGGCCGGGTACGGGTAAGGAATCAAAACCCGTTTGCGACCTCTGCCTCCGATGCAGCCTGACCATTTCTCCAAATGCGTTGCGTCTTTCGAGTTGTACCGTGAAAGCCTCTCTTCTCCGGGAGGGTTACCTTCTTGAAAACGCTCGCGCATGCAGGATTCGCGAATGCAGAAACCCGGTTCCAGTGGGGAAAGGATGGGGTTGCGTTCCTGGGATGAGTGAGCATAGCGGGTAAATGGCAAGTGCTTAATAACAATTACGACAATACGTAATATGTTTTTTTTAATTTCCTTTGATGATGATCTAACAACGGGTTTGCGGTATTCACATTGCCAGTTATATCCCAGTTGGTGCCATGATGTTGTAACAGTATCTCAAAGGGATTTGTCACCGACAACAGAGGAGTGGTCACGTATTGTCTGGGGAGACACCGCGCTAGAATAAAACCTCTTAACGCCAGACTACATTTTGTGGGGAGCTTTTACAGTTATGGGGTATGTCTGACATACTTTAATTGAGGACAGTAGACTCGACTTCGCGTGCTAAATGATGGGGAGAATGGCCATGGATAAGTAAAAATCGTGGATAATCCACAATTATCCATCGATGGATGCACGTGCTCAGTGATGATAACACTTTCCTGCTCCCGCGCAGAAGACTCGGCCCGCTAAGTGGATGATAGCAGAGCCACGCCAATCAACATCAATCAAACTCCGCCCCCACTGTTGTAAAGATATGTAACTCCTGTACTGTAGAGGAGATCGCGTTTGATTCACCGGAGAAAAATGTTTGTTCGGTTTAAGCACGTGACTTGCAATACACATTTCCAAGAATAACAATGTATCACCGTTTTTAGATAATTTGGGCTTAAGGGAAAATCTATTAGTTGTTAATTTATGTTAAAATCTCATGTGCATGGTTAATCCGCAAATCGGAAAAACCGCACACAGATTATCGAGAGTCTAGTGTCATTGCTAAATCACTACATTTCGAAATGCTGCCATGGTAGTTGAAACGAAGACACAAGTTTCTCGAATTCCACCGGCTCTTCACCCCGCAGTATAAATGGCTACACCGCTGTTCGTCAATTGGCAGGTCGCAACGTGGTGGCGTTAAAGCGAGGATACTCCCATCTCTTCCAAGACTTGTGCCCAGCGTAGTAGAGTAAGCCAAACTACCCGACCGATCCCAGAGCGGAGGGCCTCTACCGTCACCCCGAGTGGAGAATCTCTGCCGAGACTCCCGGTGGGGAGAGTGTTGTCTTGTCGAGTCGTGTGTACGTGACGTCGCATGCTTCTTAAATACAAAATTGTAAACAAACGCCTGTTTGCTTCCCTAGTGTGTGTGTGTGCGCGTGTGACCACACCGCGCTTCACTCCCGAATACCACGTGTGAGTGCTGCCCCGGAGAAAGAAATTGAAAACCGATAGCCCACAAGTTTGCATTTGTCCAAAAATTCGGGGTCTTCGTTGAGAGTTGGTGATTGATCAAGTGTACGAGAAAGTACATTTATAAGTTAGTTAAGTGGCTATCGGCGGCACCACGGTGGCGAGATATTAACCCCCTCGCCTGGTAAACAGGAGGTCGTGGGTTCGATCCCGACCTTGACGTCTGCTGTATATTTGGAGTTTGTGTGGATTTTTCTCCAGGATTTTTTCTCCACATTCAGAATCAACATCGCGCGTTTAGAGTATTTGGCTCGCCAGGTCGCTTCTGGAAAATCAGCTATTATAGCTCGGTGGGTCCTTACCTTGTAAATAAAACAATTGCTTTGAATAGATACAAATAAGTAATTTGTAAAAAAAATCATTTGAGAGAAAAATCTTCCAAGATCCAAATGTTAAAAGAGAAAAATTGCTCGTTTGGGGAAACTCATTGTCGCCCTCTACCGAAATTAACTCAGCAGGGTCCATCTTCTTAGTTCTTTCGGTAAAGTCACGTAGAAGGGAAGTAATAAAATAATAAAAATAAAACATAATAAAATCAAATATTTCTCAGCCGTCTTCAGGTGAAGACGGCTGCTTGCGTTGTAGCCGAAACGTCGTGAGAAATATTTGATTTTATTATGTTTTATTTTTATTATTTTATTACTTCCCTTCTACGTGACTTTACCGAAAGAACCAAGAAGATGAATCCCTGCAGTCACGAAAGCTTTAAATCGAAACATCAGCAGGGTCCCTCTCGATTTGCCTTGAGAGTCTGATTCTTTCCTGCTTTAAACAAGTTTAATGATAAATGTATACTAATGATGAATACATACTTGTAATGTTTGTCTTCATGGGCTATACAGGATTCATCTTCTTGGTTCTTTCGGTAAAGCCACGTAGAAGGGAAATAATAAAAATTTACCGAAAGAACCAAGAAGTTGTTTTCCATAGTTGAATTGACAACCTTTGCCCGATTTCCGAACCCGAGCCGGGATGGGGGTGTGGGGGTTGACCCTTGAGAGTGAATTGGGATTGGGTGACCCACCATTCCTGCGGAGGGAGCTGGTAGGAACGTTGGGTTGCTCGGTCAATGGCCAGGGTCAACGGCGGCGTGGTGTATTCCGCAAATATGGCCGACTGTGAGGGCGGGCACAAGCCGGCGTGAGTAGGTTAAACATTGAGTTTTATAAGGGCACCACGGGGTGACCAGCCCCTCCGCACCCAGCCCCACCCTCCCCACCCAGTCCCTCCCCACCCTCCCCACCCAGCCCCTCCCCACCCAGCCCCTCACCACCCAGCCCCACCCCTCCCATTTTTGAATGCACGTCGGACGGACACAATAATTCCCTGTGGGCTGGTGGAACCAGGTGGTTCCTACCAGTATGAGTAATGTGGTTCCTTACTTTGGTGGGGAGGTGGGGGGGGGGGTGCAGAGATGGTTAAAATTAGATTCGAAATCACAAGCGATTCCATCAATTTCCCGGTATCGACCCCCAATTATCTGGAGAGTTGGCCGGTAAGTCCTCGTTTAACGCGGCAGTCGTAGCAGTAGCGGACGCACTCCTGCAAAAAGTGCTGCGTCAAAGCGAAAAAATTTCCCCCCGTAAATAAAACGTGTACGCACGCCGCACCACGCAAGTTGAGATGGCGGGACAACTAACTTGAGGGCACCGTACAATCCTGCGTGTTGTACGCTTAACCGCTCGGCCACCACCGCTCAAGAAGACATCTTCGTCGTCGACTGCGCAGAAACCGCGCTATAACGGGTGGTGGGGGGCACTTTGGCCGATTGAACAACACTGATCCTATGATCACTGTTTCGTTGCTTTCATGGCTTTATTTTGGTGATTTCGAAATGTGTATTGGTTTAGCCATGTTTGTTTGTTGTAGTACAGTTAGACTGATGGCCTTAATCTAAGTTGTCTTGTGGTTGTTGTTGTTGTTTGACTTGCATCCCACTGGGATTTTTGCACACAGTGTTGGTGTATGGTGATTTTTTTCTGCAATATTTTGCTGTCTTTTCTTGGATTTTCTGTTTGCACTTAGTCACATATTCACTTTAAGATGTTTTTTGTTTTTTGTTTGTTGCGGTTGCACCCGATTCAAGAGCCGAATGGCTCACAGGGCTATACCTAATATATGAAATTGAACTACCAAAACAGGCTCAGAGCTGCTAGACTGAGGCTCCCCTAGAGTGCAGTGGTGTACATTCAAGAAGCTCATAAGTCTCTGCACCGTTGTGCGAAAAGTGTTCTCGCCCAACGAGAGAATTCGCCTTATAGCGAAAACGCGTTGTGCGAACGCGCGTTAAGCGAGGACTTACCGGCGGTAACGGCGCGGCCAATCACCACGATCGATTCCAATTTTTTTTAAAAAGTTTAACGCGATTCGATTCCTATTGCAATACACACAACGCGTGATAATCGCGACGTTTCGATTCCTCGGAACCCGTTGTCGACTCCGATCATAATGACCTAAACCGTGGCTACGTCATCGCGAATCGGTTCGATTACTTCCGGCGACAGAATCGACTCGCGCGATTCCGCCGCAGGAACTAATCGAATCGATCCGCGATGACGTCACCGATAGCAATGGCGACCTTGAGGACGCAGCTGCTGCTGCTGAGGCTGTCGAAGACGACGGCGGCGGCGGCGTCTCTCGGGGTCCCGAGGCGCTCGGCGGCCTCCCGTCTCGGCCCCCTCGCAGGCGGCACGGCCACACGGCGGGGCCTCGCTCAACACACCGGGTGAGGGTGGTGGTGGCGGCGGTGAAGCGTCCCGGCCATAGGAACGTGGAGTTGGTGTCGAGTGTGTGTGGCCTCAAGTTGGCTTCACTTTCGGCGGTTGCCCAGTACTTTTTTTTGTCTTTTAGGGCCGGTAAAATACCTACCACTTTGTGATTGTTGTGCTGTGGATGGACTTGGTCCCGCCGATAAGAATGTGGAATTTCCACCAACGGCTCATTAGATAATGGAGACAAAACGCATGAGTGGACTATGTCTCCACATACAAGTCTTTTGTTGATGCAACCCATCGGCCCCAGGATTGCACATTTTAAAAGTCATTGTCCACTGCTTGTATTGTTTCTGTGGTGAACAATATGTAGTCAATTAAGGAGTCATCGCTGATTGTTTTATTCAAGTTCTCTACGACGAGCCTGTGTTGTTATTGTGAGTTGTGCACGAAATAATTTGCGTCTAACTCATATGACTCCCATGCCTTAGAGGTTTCCCCATTATCCAGAGTTATTTTGGAGGCTTTAACATCTGGCACAGCGCACCACCAGCATTTGGCTGATGAGACACGAATTCTAGATTTGAAGCTTTCGTGACTGCAAGGATTCATACTCTTAGGTTTTTTCGGTAAAGTCACGTAGGTAAAAAATAATAGAGAAGACAGAGTCTTCTCGACAGCCCTGTTCTCCACCTGAGGACGGCTGCTTGCGTTGTGGCCGAAACGTCGTGAGAATTATTTTATTATGTTTTATTTTTATTATTTTATTATTTCCATTCTACGTGACTTTACCGAAAGAACCAAGAAGATGAATCCCTGCAGTCACGAAAGCTTTACATCGAAATTATTAAACCTGTTATGGATATTATTCGCGGAAGCAGGAGGTCGTGAGGTCAATCACGACCCTGACATCTATATATTTGGAGTTTGAATGTTCTCCCTGTGGTTGCGTGGATATTTCTCTGGGCTCCGGCTTTTCACTCCACATTTAGAATCAACATCACGCGTTTAGAGTCTCTGTCTGCTGCTAGACATTTCCACGTGATGATAAGCGACTTCGTCTAGCTATCATTTGTGGCCAGGTCACTTCTGAAAATAGCTATAAAATAATACTGGTTGGAACCTCCTGGTTACACCAGCCCACAGGGGATTATTGTGTCCGTCCGTCGTGCATCCAAAAATGGGAGGGGTGGGGCTGGGTGGAGAGGGGAGGGTGGGGAGGGGCTGGGTGGGGAGGGGAGGGTGGGGCTGGGTGGGAGGGGTGGGGCTGGGTGAGGAGGGGCTGGGTGAGGAGGGGCTGGTCACCCCGTGGTTCCCTTATAAAACTCAATGTTTAACCTACTCACGCCGGCTTGTGCCCGCCCTCACAGTCGGGCATATTTTCGGAATACACCACGCCGCCGTTGACCCTGGCCATTGACCGAGCAACCCAACGTTCATACCAGCTCGCTCAGCAGGACTGTGTTTACTCCACCCCAGTTGCTGGGCAGTGAAAGTGAATCGTGACTTGTTAATTCCCCCCCTCGCCGAGCAAGTAGTTGGGCAGTCTCCCTCTTTGGTGATCATCAGCAGTGTCGAACTCGTGCTCCGGGCCGCTGCTCCACCAGTGGTGGGTGACAGCGTGGAGAAGAGTGATCATTGTGTTAACACTTCCTTTAGTTGGTTTGGCACTCACTAGAGCAGTGGTGGTTCTTAACCACCACTGGGGGTGTGAGATGCCCTTTCTGTGGGGAGCGAGACGTGGCCAGATTTCTTTTTTTTTAGAAGGTAAATCATCGAAAACACAAATTAAGCACGGGCACATCAGTTAAAACTTACTTTGTTTCATCAAAACCTGTGTATTAACATTGCTTCTTTTTACGATTGAGAACCAAAGGGGTGCATTTTTCGATTTAAAGCTTTCGTGATTGCAGGGATTCATCTTCTTGGTTCTTTCGGTAAAGTCACGTAGAAGGGAAATAATAAAATAATGAAAATAAAACATAATAAAATACAATTCTCACGACATTTCGGTCATAACGCAAGCAGCCGTCCTCAGGTGAAGAACAGGTCTGTCGGAAAGACAGCGTCTGAATGACGCTGTCTTTTATATGTTTTATTTTTATTATTTTATTATTTCCCTTCTACGTGACTTTACCGAAAGAACCAAGAAGATCAAAGGGGCGCAATTAAGAGTTCCGGGGATTTCTTCTTCTTCTGGTAATCATCATCAGCGTTGCCGGGCCCCGTTGTTCCCCAGGCTCCCGGGAGCCGTCGGGGAGCGGCTGTGGGGCTTGGGACGCCTCAACCACGTGGCGGTGGCCGTGCCCAACCTGGAGGCGGCTACGCGGCTCTACAGGGACGTGCTAGGCGCACAGGCAAGGATGTCTCGCTCCGATTAAACGATACAGCAGACCCGAGGTTCCACAGTGACGTCGGTTAACGTTTCGCCTCCCATAGGGACCCCGTGTATTCCGGCTACCGTTAACATTTTGACTAACGGTACCATGTTTACGTCACGCGCACTCGGGGCGCCAATTATTGGTCAATCCGAGTGCTCGTAAGCAGGGCTGAGTAAATGCAGAGGGAAAAACCGGAGGACCAGGAGAAAAATCCACGCGACCACGGGGAGAGACACACACAGACTTAATTTATACACTTTTACACGTAGGCTTTCATGACCAATGTTCATCATAAAGGGTTTTTTTTTTGGGTGATATCGAAATATACAGCAGGCGTCAGTGTCAGGATCGAACCCACGACCTCGTGCATACCAGACTGTTGGGGCAAGTGCTGTTAGCGAGCACCTATTAAGGGCTGGCACGGTAAACGAGGCGGTGGGTGGCCGGCACCACGCCCGGCCGCCTTTGTCTCCCCAGTGGCGATGTTAACACACCGCACCAGGTACTCATTTGAGGCCGAGTTGACTTAGGGGAGGCCCAGGACCGGTTCAGATATTCGTCACTGGTGTTCGACATGAGTGGGAATTTAACTCAGGTTGCCGGGTTTATACCGCTAAAATGTATACGTACATATGTCATAGCAGATGATATCTACCGATTGAAAACGTTCTTGTTTCAAAGGTATTTTGTGGCTAAAGCAGTTTGCCCGTGTTAACATCTATTGGCCCCGGTTTGTGAGCGCTGCTTGCCGTGGAGAGCTAAACGCGGTTTGCCATGCCCAATAGTTACCGTGGTTAAAATTGATCGGCCGTGGTTGGTGAGCGAGCGAGTTTATCTTTTATCCGCGGATAAAGGGGTGCGTGCCGTGCGTCCGCCAGTGGTTCGCCACAGATTCAAACCTGCCGGCCACGTCTTAGCGAGGACCGCTTTGCCGCGGGTTGGCCAAGACGCGGATCGTTTTCCCTGCTGCGTGCAGCCTGCCGGCCGCAGTTTTGGCGAGTGCCGCGCGATTACCGTCCGCAGGTGAGTGGCGTCGTGCCGTTGCCAGAGCACGGTGTCTCCACGGTGTTCGTGGACCTGGGCAACACCAAGATTGAACTCCTGGAGCCGCTGGGAGATAAAAGTCCCATCGCAGGTGACACCCGGCATCTTCCGCCATCTCGCGTTGTCCCGCATCGTTAGTCTACGTCCTTACGGCTGCCTCGGGACATATTTGCGTCCAGTCTTGCATATTCCGCGTGTTCCACCTTTGTTCTCATCGTCTGCCCAACGCTACTGCTCTATTTACCCTTTGGCCCTTCCGAGACGTGTATTTTGCAAGTCGCAGGGTGGGTGTCTCTGTTTCACCGCTGTATTTTGGAGAGCGCGAGCGGGTCGGCGATAATTTTATTTAGAGAGGCGCCGCTGTTTTTAAAAGACATCTCACCGCAGAGAACCGTAGCGACACTGACCGCACTCTGTGGTAGCTGGCGCCAAACTGTGCCACGGGCCCTCCCGCATGGTGGTGAGATGTTAACTACCTCGCCTGGTATACAGGAGGTCGTGGGTTCGATTGTGACCCTGACGTCTGTGTATTCGGAGTTTGCTTATTCTCCCTGTGGTCGTGTGGATTTTCTTCTCCCGATCCTCCGGTTTTTCCCTCCACGTTTAGAATCGGCATGCATTTCCAGATTTGGCTGTCGCTATAACTTGGTTGAGCGATCATGTGTAATAGCCACGCCGCTTCTGAAAAAGAGCTACATCGTTCAGTGGGCCTTACCTGGTAAAATAAAATAGTTTAGTTTTATTTGTATGTTTTTTTAGTGATTTGCTTAGCTTCCTATACTTTGCTCCTACCGTGTTTTTTTGTATTGTTGGAACGTTCTGACCCACCCCTACTGGACATCTGTGAAAAGTAGCTTTACCTGGTGAGATCAAAAGTTGAGTTTAACATGGCCTTTAAACACGTTCCTTCAGAGTGGGCAGGTAGGAACTTGGTTGGACGGCGCATTCGTGCGATCCGTGTCACGCGGCGCAAGCTGCGGGGGGCGGCGCGTCACGTGGTGCTGAGCCCGCCCGAAGCGCTCTATGAAATACAAATCGAGGGCGTGGCTATGCACGACAGACAAATAATCCCTGGTGGGCAGTGCGGAACTGTTGTTCCTACCTGTACTTCCGATGTACGTGTACTGTTGACGTACGCGTACATCATGGGCAAGGGGTTAACTGTCCCGTCTATGCTCTCTCTCTCCTGGTGCTGCAGGCTTCCTGGCGAAAAACGCCAGCGGGGGTCTGCACCACGTGTGCCTTGAGGTGGACGACTTGGCGGCGGCGCTGAGTGCCGTGCGCGCCATGGGGGTGCGCCCCCTGGGCTCGGAGCCCCGCTTGGGCGCGCACGGAAAACCCGTCATCTTCCTGCACCCCAAGGACTGCAGCGGCGTGCTCGTGGAGCTTGAGCAGGCGTAGCCGGGGACACGGTGGGGGGGCGGAGACACGGTGGGACACGGTGACCGGAGGTGAGGTGGGAGACGGTGGGGACACGGGTAGAGACATGGAGGTGAGGTGGGAGACGGTGGGACACGGGTAGAGACACAGAGGTGAGGTGGGAGACGGTGGGACACGGGTAGAGACACGGAGGTGAGGTGGGAGACGGTGGGACACGGGTAGAGACATGGAGGTGAGGTGGGAGACGGTGGGGACACGGGTAGAGACATGGAGGTGAGGTGGGAGACGGTGGGACACAGGTAGAGACATGGAGGTGAGGTGGGAGACGGTGGGACACGGGTAGAGACACGGAGGTGAGGTGGGAGACGGTGGGGACACGGGTAGAGACACGGAGGTGAGGTGGGAGACGGTGGGGACACGGGTAGAGACACGGAGGTGAGGTGGGAGACGGTGGGACACGGGTAGAGACACGGAGGTGAGGTGGGAGACGGTGGGACACGGGTAGAGACACAGAGGTGAGGTGGGAGACGGTGGGACACGGGTAGAGACACGGAGGTGAGGTGGGAGACGGTGGGACACGGGTAGAGACATGGAGGTGAGGTGGGAGACGGTGGGGACACGGGTAGAGACATGGAGGTGAGGTGGGAGACGGTGGGACACGGGTAGAGACACGGAGGTGAGGTGGGAGACGGTGGGACACGGGTAGAGACATGGAGGTGAGATGGGAGACGGTGGGACACGGGTAGAGACACGGAGGTGAGGTGGGAGACGGTGGGGACACGGGTAGAGACATGGAGGTGAGGTGGGAGACGGTGGGACACGGGTAGAGACACGGAGGTGAGGTGGGAGATGGTGTGACACAGGTAGAGGCAGCAGGACATGGGAAGAGACGGTGGGACACGGGGAGAGACATGGAGGATGCAGGGGTCACGGCAGGACACAAGGAAACAGGGGACCGGAATAGCGTGACACGGGGGGATAGCGACCCGCAGATGCTCAGGCAACACGAGACATGGGGAGGGCTGGGTATGGGGACGTATGTATGTGTGTGTGTTGAACTTCTTTCGCACCGTACGTAGCCAACAGTGTTAATCAGAGGAGACACTGGGACTGCGAGCTCTTGCGAGGGGGTACATCGATACCAGATAAGCACTTAGAACAAGTGTCGTGTACGTGTGGGGGGGGGGGGGGGTGTTCGCTGTTAAGTGTGTACGGACAGCAGTGGGCACTGTATTCTGGTGTTGCCCAAGTGGCATGTTCAATTGGACAAATCTGTTGTCAGTTAAACATTGCGTAATGAAGCAACACGCCACCACATTTCAATGAACACAGAGTGAAAATCTGTTAACCGTTTTAAGCGTTTCACAAATTACGATAATATAAAAAAGACACAAATACCTCACTTTGAATGCACGTGTAGCGTTTATTTAAGTTAATCCTGCACGAGGCTCGGCTTAATTAGAAATTAAGGAAATCGTGTACAAAAAGAGAAAAATCCGTCATTCGCAAACTCCATTCCAAGGTACCAACGAGCCACTCCCGCGTTTTGAATGTTTGCACATCTCCCCAACGGAAGACCACGTCTCCCTGGGATCGTTCGCGTGCAGAAACGGAATTCGGGAGTAGATTTCAGCACAAACTGAACTGGGAGGCCGACAGATCTAAGTAGTGTGGCTCACGGTTCGAGGTTGGAGTTTGGGTCCAGGTTAGGATTAGAGACAAATAGGCACCTTTGTTTGCCCTGTTTGAAACAGCACCAGACTGGGTCTGTAACTGCAGAGTGAGTTTGGAAAAGCCAATTATGATGGTGCCCGCTGTTAGCCAGATGGGGTTCCATATTTTTTGTGCGCGATGACGAGCAATGAATTGCAATTCGCCAGTCACAGACTCGCACAGAACCACCGCCTTGCATTGGCCCATAGACTAAGACCCACACAGAGACCCACAGAAATCCATACAGACAAAACCCACAGACTCGCCCAGAGACCTGCATACGCTCATACGACTCGCACAGAAGACAGAACAACTCGCACAGAGAACCCAGAGATCGACTCGAAACAGACACCCACAGACTCGCATAGTCCCACACTCGAGAACACAATGTCGTGTGAGTGATGGATCGCACTTCACCGTAGTCACCGCTCACCTCCCAGATGTAGTTCTAACCCAGTTAAGCGCAATCCAGAAAAAATCTAGCAAAGGCGGCAGTACAAACAGTGCCGAGGTTCGGGTTGGGCTGTGGTTAGGGGTCATTGCAAATGACGCTTTGGCCAGACATGGACGGATGTGATGAGGAGCCGAAACCTCTGCAAGGTTAGCTTTTTGGTCTCGTCGTGGTTTCACGTTCAGTGGCATAAGTAGCGCTCTGCCCTAGCCTCGCCGTGAGCCCTGCTTCGCTGGTCTCGACGCACGCAACAAAAACAACAACAGCGGCGTCTGAGAGCGAAGAATAATAACGACAATTTCTATAGCGCCGTCAACATTGCAAGCCGTTACACGGGTGCTAAGCGAGCGGATGGTTGGGTGAATACGTGTACGAGTGAGTGAGTGAGTGAGGGTGAGTGGGTAAGTGGGTAAGTGTATGAGGGTGAGTGGGTGAGTGTGAGTGAGTGTATGAGAGTGTGTAAGTGGGTAAGTATGTAAGTGTATGAGAGTGAGTGGGTGAGTGTATGAGAGTGGGTGAGTGTGAGTGTATGAGGGTGAGAGAGTGAGTGGGTGGGTAAGTGTATGAGAGTGTGTAAGTGTATGAGAGTGAGTGGGTGAGTGTGTAAGTGGGTAAGTATGTAAGTGTATGAGGGTGAGTGAGAGAGTGTGTGAGTGTATGAGAGTGAGTGTAAGTGGGTAAGTGTATGAGAGTGGGTGAGTGTGTAAGTGTATGAGAGAGTGTGTAAGTGAGTGTGTGTGAGTGAGTGTGAGTGAGTAAGTGTGTGTGAGTGAGTGTGAGTGAGTAAGTGTGTGCCAGTGAGTCTCCTCACTGTGGGAAGTGAGCGAACGACGGTTGGGTGAATCGACGTGTGCGAGTGGGCGAGTGTCTCAGGGAGAATGGGTTGCCTGAAATGACTTTGTCTGTGCGCGAGTGAGCGAGCGAATAAGCAAGTCTCAACCTCACTGTGGGAGTAGATGAGTGAGCGACTTGGTAAGCGGGCGGACAAGCGCCGGTCTCGACGATCGGCCGAGGAGCTGTCCCGCCCCCCGCCCGGCGTCGTCCCGTCGCGCGCGACCTCAGTAGGCGAAACGCGACGTGGCGGCGTATCCCAGTTCGTCCAGCGCGGGGTTGCACGCGAACTGCAGCATGGGCGGCGGTCCGCACATGAGCACGAGCACGTCGGCCGAGGGCGGGGGCAGGTGCTCGCGCACCATCGCCGCGCTCACAAAGCCCTGGCCAAACTCCCAGCCTGCGGGGGGGAAGGGGGGAGGGGAGACACGGAGGTACAACGCGGCCACCGACTCGTTATCGTGGTCACGTCGTCAGCCGTGGTTCAATCTACCGCCGCCGGACCAAGGCCTTCCCCCCCCCCCCCCGCCGCCGAAGGCCGTGGGGGCCAACTCGCGGTTCTCGCACCGCGGCACGTAGCCAACCGCGTATCAATCGGAAGTGCGAGGTGGGGGGGACAGCAAGCTAAACGCAACAACAAGCAGTCTTCATATTCTTTGGGTCTTTCGGTAAAATTACTTAGCTTCAAAGAAAATAACAAAATACTACGCCGTTTTGATCACAACACAAGCGATCGTCAACAGGAGGACGATTGCTTGTGTTGTGATCGAAACGTAGTTTTTTGTTATTTTCCTTGAATCTATCTACGTGACTTGACCGAAAGACCCAAAGAATATGAGTCAATATTTAAGTGAGTCTTCAACCTGGAAGAGAACTCATTTCTTTAGAACCGCCTTGTTTTTTTTCGTGTTTCGTCGCCTTCCCCTAGCGGCGGGACTGATCACGAGGCGTCGACGAGGTAGCCACGACGTGGTGGGTTAGGGGGGTTAGACAGGGCACATGGGTGGGTGGAAAGGTGGGTCGGCAAGCAGGTAGACAGACACGGGGATAGGCAGCAGGTAGTCGGGTGGAGAGGTCGGTGGGCAGATAAAACAGGTGGATAGGTAGGTAAATGGGTAGGTAGTTGAGCAAGCAGGTAGTTGGGCTGATGGATGGGTAGGTTGGTGAGGGGGTAGGGGTTTTTAAGCAGGTGAATGGAGAGATATGTGGGTGGGTGGGAAGGTGGGCAGGCAGGCAGGCAAGTAGGTGGGCAGCTAGACTTATGGGTATGTAGGTAGGCAGTGTTGTTGCTGATGGATGGGTAGGTAGGTAGGTGAGGAGGTAAGTATTTAGACAGGTAGACAGGCAGGCGGGTGGGTGGCCGTCTGGCTTGCGGTGTGGCCCGTACCCTGTGGTGCGCGGTCGAGTGTGAACCACAGCTTGAACTTCTGCGGATGTTCAGCCGCAACCTCCTCCAGCTCGGCACGCAGCAAGATGTCCTTCTCCTCCTGCACGCGGCCACACAAAGACAAAGATCCCCCGTGTAGCCTGTGACAGACTGATGGGGGGGCGAGTGCTGTTTGCGAGTAGCAGCACCTATGAGGGCCGTCACGGCACACGAGAGGGGGCGTGTGGCCGGCTCCACGCTCGGCCGCCTTTGTCTCCCCAGTGGCGATGTTTACTGCACATCGCACCAGGTACGCGCCTTAGTCGGCCTAGGGGAGGCCCAGGACCAATTCAGACGTGGTGTGTTGTGGTAGTGGTGTGTTGTGGTGCGGCATGGTGTGTTGTGGCATTGTGTGTTGTGGTGCAGTACGTTATGGTGCGACATGGTGTGTTGCGGCATTGCATAGTGTGGCATGTTGTGGTTTGTTCTCCTGTGCCATGGTGAGTTATGAAGCGGTGTGTTGTGGCGAGGCATGAAGTGTTGTGGTGTGAAGAGGAGTGTTGTGGTGAGGCATGGAGTGTTGTGGTGAGGCATGGAGTGTTGTGGTGTGACATGGGAGTGTTGTGGCGTTTGAACCCACCTGGTTGGCAAAGATGAGGTGGCACGTGGTCTTGTCTGCGGGATTGTTCACGATCTGCCGCACGAGCTGCAGCATCGGAGTGATTCCTGAACACGACACCGGACACAGAGCGCTGGGCCACAAATACAAAGATCCCCCGTACAGCCTGAACACACTGTTGGGGCAAGTGCTGTTAGCAAACGCACGCACGCACAGCGCTGACCAACGTCATCTAAAAAACGATTATCGTGGACCGTGCGAGGTACGACATCGTCGTGCAGTGTACGCACAACCACACTCATCGGTGGTGCGCGGGAAGGATAAACTGTGGGTCTCTGTGTGAGTCTATAGGTCTCTGTGTGAGTTTGTGGGTCTCTGTGTGAGTCTATGGGTCTCTGTGTGAGTCTGTGGGTCTCTGTGCGAGTATGTGGGTCTCTTTGCAAGCATGTGGGTCTCTGTGCGAGTCTATGGGTCTCTGCGTGAGTCTATGGGTATCTGTGCGAGTCTGTGGATCTCTGTGCGAGTCTGTAGGCCTCTCTGTGAGTTTGTGGGTCTCTGTATGAGTCTGTGGGTCTCTGCTTGAGTCTATGGGTCTGTGCGAGTCTATGGGTCTCTGCGTGAGTCTATGGGTCTGTGCGAGTCTATGGGTCTGTGCGAGTCTATGGGTCTTTGTGCGAGTCTATGGGTCTCTGTGTGAGTCTATGGGTCTCTGTGTGAGTATGTATGCATGCATATTGAACTTCTTTCACACCGTACATAACCAACCGCGCTAACTGGAGGCGCGCGGCGGGAGGGCGGGTAAAACAAACTAAACACAACAACAACAAGCAGTTCTGAAGAAACGCATTTTTCAATGTGGACGACGCTGTAACAGCGCGTGGCAGCGCTGGCGGGCTCACCCGTGCCGCCTGCGATCATGCCCAGCCGCCGCACTTTGCGGTCCTGCGGCTCCGACTTCTTGTCGGGCCGGATGGCGAAGACTCCTGGATGGGGGGGGGGGGGGGAGGCAGAGAATCGGGCCGGCGATCAAACTCCGCGGTCGATCCGAGCGTTGCCGCCGAGCGACGAGAGAAAAGCATTCTCGCTCGCAGTGCGACGCGCGGGACAAAGCGCGACGATGATGATGATGATGTTCGTGTGTTGGCCGGGGGGGGGGGGTGCCAGTGGCCCCCCATGGGGCCTTGCAATGAATAATACTGATCCAGACTAAGACTACCAAAGGGTCCATTGTTAATTCAAGAGGCTCAGAGCTGCTGGACTCCCCTAGAGTTCAGTGGCGTACATTCAGAAAGCTCATAGACACAACGGACTTAAAGTCTCTGCTCGGGTTCAGTCAGTGGCGTAGCCATCAAGGTGTGCAGGCGGTGCAACTGCTCCCGCGCCAGTGGGTCGAAGAGGTGGGGGGGTAACCCAACCCGGGCGTGCCAACCACGCTGCTGATGCCACTGCACGGGAGGCTGCCCCCCCCCCGCCCCGCGTCACCGTGTCCCCCTCTCGCCTGGAGCCTTGTAGACCAGGAGGCCGTTGGGCCCGCGGAAGTCGATGCCGTCGCCGATGTTCATCTGGTCCAGGTACTGGGACATCTTCCCGCCCTCTGGGAATTTCGGGTGGACGCCCTTGAAGTAGACCTGCACGCGTACACACACACGCATCACGCGTACACACACGTCACGCGACACATACACGCACACATACACACGCGTCACGTACACACGCGTCACGCGACACACATGCGTGTCACGCGACACATACACACGTCACGCGACATACACACACACGTCACGCGACATACACACACGCGTCACTCCGGTTATCCTCGCAGCAGCGGCTGTCGGCTGGCCATCGAACAAAGACGGTGGTCGCCGCACCGCGCGCTTCTGTGGCCGTCTGGAACGCTCTTCTGATATTAGGAAGCCGCTGGAGCTATGGAACTTTTCAATCGTCATCTCGATTGACAAAGTCATTTCTTTGGAACTGCTTATTGCGTTTAGTTTGTCGTCCTTGCCCCGCACCTCCGATTAGCGCGGTTGGCTACGTACGGTGCGAAAGAAGTTCGACGTACATCCATACGACTGAGAAAATGATGTCACGCACGGACTACAACTTGAGTAAACTGATTCTAGATTTGAAGCTTTCGTGACTGCAAGGATTCATACTCTTAGTTTTTTCGGTAAAGTCACGTAGGTAAAAACGTTATCATGTGCACCAACAGGGGCTTGCGCACAAACACGTCCATGTCTACTACACCTCGTGCTCTCTTTTAGCCCCGCCCCCCCCCCTCCCCAATACGTTCCATTCATTGGCTGCCACATTCTGATAAGCTCCCCCCCCTCTCCTCCCCCTTAACTTGTATTTAAGAACTTGCATCTTGGAATCCCTGCCTCACTTGCTGCAGCAAATCTGGCTGTGACGGTCCCACCTGAAGACGGAGACTTGTGTTGCCTCCGAAACGTCGTGATTTTTATTATTATTTTATTTTTATTAATTTTAATTTCATTTTTTTTTACCTACGTGACTTTACCGAAAAAACTAAGAGTTTAACTAAACTAGCACCGCCGGGGTGATGTTGACGGCGGTGACGCGACGGCGCTGACGTGACACCCGGGTGACGTGACACCCGGGTGACGGGACTGTCTCACCTTCACCACGAGGTCCACGTAGCCCTTATCCTCATCGCGCGACACCGGCGTGTAGGGCCGGATCACCAGGTTCCCGTCCACCTTGGTCGTCAGGTACACGTGCTGACCTGGCAGCGATCAACGACACACAAACACGCACAACACTTTAGTAGCTTATCATCTCTTACGGCTCGATCCCGAGCTATTCATGCTTTAATGTTTGCATTGTCCTTGTGCTGGTTGCCTTTTGGCGTTTCTCCGATCTAACGCCGGCGGTGAGACAAGGCCATCAAGGAGGCCGTCTCTGGTGTAGGCCAATCAGTTTCAAGGAGAACGCCTTATCAGTGCACATTTTGTTGTGGTTGTTGCATTGTTACCACAAGTGCTTGTGGTTAATGCAGGCTTGATGCCTCGTAGTATTTGGTCTTTCAACATCTTATAACCACCCTGTGTTCTTGCTGGAAAGGCTTAAGCCTATTATTTTGTTGTCATCATCCTGATACTGGCAAAAAGAGTCCCCCATAAATAAAATAAAATATAAAATTGACTACGTTTGAGTCTCAATTGTTTGGGTCTCAATCAAGATCCTGTAACCTGGTCTCCTGGAGTTCTTTCAAGACTCTGAACCTGAAACCCAATCTCCCGAGAGGCAGAACTCAATACGTTCATCCCGAAAGATGATCTCCCCTGGAGCTTAAGTCTCAGATCATGAATGTGAAATTCGCTCTCTTGGAACGGACACGAAAAACACGCTGCTCCGTGAGCGTAGCGCATCAGCCGTGAAGGCGCGGGGTATTTACTCGTTAAATAATGACAAAACCAGCAGCAGGCGTCGTCACAGTCGGGATCGAAAACCCACGACCTCCTGCATACCAGGCGAAGGAGTTAACATCTCCTATCCACCGTGGTGCCCTCGACACCCCGACACTCAAGGCAGGGGGCGCCCACCACGGAGACCGAGCGACGTCACAAGCTGGCGCGCAGGCACGAGACGGAGCGCCGCAAGCGGCCACTTGGGGCAAGGCCTTCATCTAGCAGTGGATAGACCACGGCTGACGCCGACGACAACGACGATTGTATCCCATCCTTGCAGCGACAGGGACTCACCCACGGGCAGTCCCAGCACATGCTGCGGAGACGGAAGTGCAAAGCGGAACTTCCTCGTGTCGTGGCTGATGATCTGCCGAGTGGACAAACGGAGAGGGGGGGGGGGGGGGGGGAGAACAGCCGTCACCGGGGGCCGACACGGCAGGAGGCACCACGGGTAGCCAGAGGTCGCAAATGGGTTTTGATTCCTTACCCGTACCCGGCCGCACCAGGGTCGCAAACGGGTACCCATACCCGTACCCGGCTGGGTACGGGTAGCCGGGTATCGGGTAGGGTACGGGTATCGGATACCCGGTTGCGACCTCTGCGGGTAGCCGAGTCGGCACGAGGAGCCGCCCGGCTACTGTGTTCCCGGCGCATTGGACTGTCGCAACCACACCTACTCACGGGCCGAGTGACATACCCACGTATGGAACGACCCACCATTACATACGTGAACACTCATTTCTTTAGAACTTTGTGTCTGGATGGGCTTCTCGTCGTTAATGTACATATGTTGAAGTTCTTTCTCACCATATAAGAATTGGTTTTACCCTTTTCTGGCAATAAAAGAGCCGAGTTAAGATGTTTAAACACCAAACAGAAACCTTTTTGCAAGGAATCATGTCTGCATTGTGCACATATACTTGTGGTGAACATGCAAACAAAAAAGCATGCTCTGGTAGTTGATGATGCATTGTCTTTGACACCGATTGGTCCAAACCAGAGAGACAGCTTACTTTAGAGCCGAGTTTCAAACAGTGTTGGAAGGTCCCATTACGATATTCTTTCTCACCGTACGTAGCCAACCGTAACAATCGGAGGTGTGGGGCAAGGCCGACCAAACGAAACACAAAAAGCTGTTCTAAAGAAATGACTTTATCAATCTCGATGATTTAAAAGTGCACAGCTCCCAGTAACTTCCTAATATTGGAAGGGCGTTCCAGACGGCCGCAGAAGCGCATCCGAAAGCGCGCGATGTGGTGACCGTCTTCGTTTGATGGTCAGAACGTTTCCTTAAAACGTTCCGCATTTCACTCAACAACAACCTGGGAGCACAAAAGTGAAGTTCAACAATGGATGTCGCTGCACTGCCAACTGCTGCCTGTCACGTGTCCCCCCCCCCCCCCCCATGGGCCTGCAACCGCCTCAACCCTCCCCCGGTCTGAACCCCTTGCTTAGATTCCCACGTATGACATCATACGCGTAGGTCACAGGCGCGCCTGACCTGGCCATTGCGAAACTCCGGAGGGAGCGAGAGGCATTCAGAACCAACCGGGGTTTGAACCCAGGCGCTCGGGACACGGACAAACACCGGACCTTGAACCCACGTGCGTTGAACACAAACACGCTCACACCAAAGGGTTCACTGGACTCTGATTTAGAAAAAAAAACTAAATCCATACCAGAAGTTGGCGATGCCCCAAGGACGCAGCTATTTCAAATGACAGTAACGCGGGACAACACGCCATCCCGCTCAGTTGCCTGGGTTCAAGCCCTAGTTCTGGGTGCCTCTCTCGGGACGTTCATAATGGCCATGTCGGAGCCAGTCGGCCGGAACCCATCAGATTTAAACTCCGGGCCTCCTCCGTGTCTCTCAGGAGGTTCACAGTGGCTGTGTCAATGGCACCTACGTACGTACAACTTCTTTCGCACCGTGCCAATCGCAGGTGCTAGTTGGGGACCTGCTGCATGTGAAGTGCGACAATCTTCCACAATCATGCTGGATGAGGGGTCTCCCCAGGGCATAGGGGTGGGGGTCGTGCGGGTTTACACGACCACACTTCACCAAACTGGGAGAGTACGGGGCTTGGTGAAGCAGCAAAGCGCAGAAGCGCTTACACTATGAGACCTCCTTTACCAGTGGCAAAATATAGTATTAGGTTTTTACCCTTTAAACTGGTACAAAACTGACACCTTTAAGGACAGTGCATATCATTACCATTATCCGAGTTGTTTCTTTTTGTTTGCATTTTGACTGCTTGTGTTGAGGTTATTGCAAACATGATGCCTTGTATAAAGGTGTCAGTTTTGTACCAGTTTAAAGGGTAAAAACCTACTACTACTACGCAGAAGCGCTGTCGCAGAAATACAAAAGTGGCCTTTGTTGCGTTGCCCTCTGGGTGCCCGAAACGTTGTCGCCCCAGGGGCAGCCCTGCAACGACTTGTTGTTGTGCAGGGCGGTCGCCCGTCCCGAGATTCCAAGCGCCATTCCCGGCTCAATCCTTGTTTGCGCCTGCGGGGGGGGGGTCTAACAAGATCGGGCGGGCGCGTTCTGGCCCACGTGGAATGCAGAGGAGACCGTCATTCGGCGAATGGATTGACAGAGGGCCACGTGCACGCTCGCACGCACACAAAGATAAAGATCCCCCGTATAGCCTTAACAGACTGTAGGGGCAAGTGCTGTTAGCGAGCACCTATGAAGGCCGGAACGGTACACGAGGGGGTGGGTGGCCAGCACCACGCCCGACCGCCTTTGTCTCCCCAGTGGCGATGTTTACACACCGCACCAGGTACTAATTTGAGGCTGAGTCGACCTAGGGGAGGCCCGAGACCGGTTCAGATAATGGTCACCGGTGTTGGCCGTGAGCGGGAATCGAACCCGGGTCGCCGGGTTCATAGCGCAGCGTAGCGCTAACCGCTAGACCACCGCTCCCCACACACACACGCGCACACACACACGCGTGTAACTTGTACCACCAGTTCAGGGCCTCCCGACAGAGATGACCTTTGCCCCCCGACTGTTTTTTGTGAGCAGAAGGAGACGGAGTAAGAGGAAAAAATAATCCGATAAAAAAAAGACAGATACAGTAGATCATCGATAATCATCCGGCGGCTTCGGAGTGGGTGCCGGATTTTCAAAAACACCGTCGGGGATCGAACCCGGTGCCCCCCCCCCCTCCCCCGTTATACCTCCTTGTCGACCAAACGCAGCGGGTACTTGATGCTGGGATCTTTGAGAGTGACGGGGTCTTTGCTGGCCGCCGAGCCTCCGAAGAATAACCCCTTGAGCATGAATATCGCAAACGCCAGGCCGCCCAGGATCACGGTGAGCACCTGCAGGGAGGCGGGAGAGGGAGCACAAGCGGGAGGATTAATCCACAATTCAGGCTGTCGCGTGACGAGGCTGCTTTGTTGTAATTGTCCGGCGAAGAGTCGCTGTTTTGATTTAGTGTGCTGATCTTAAAGGTGCATTGAAAAATTATAATACTCCGATTGATGCTCCTGCTGTTGTGGAGTGACTCATGCAGCCAGCTACGGCTGCAGGGTTTTGGTAGTAAATGTTGTTTATGCCGTTTATTGTGAAAATTCCGTCACAGTTCCTATGATCACTGTTTCATTGGTTTCATGGCTTTATTTTGGTGATTTCGAAAAGTGTATTGGTTTAGCCATGTTTGTTTGTTGTAGTACAGAGTTAGACTGATGGCCTTAATCTAAGTTGTCTTGTGGTTGTTGTTGGTTGTTTGACTTGCATCCCACTGGGATTTTTGCACACAGCGTTGATGTACGGTGCTTTTTCTGCAATATTTTGCTGTCTTTTCTTGGATTTTCTGTTTGCACTCATGTTCATGTTTTTGTTTGTTACGATTGCACCCGATTCAAGAGCCGAATGGCTCACAGGGCTATACCTAATAAATGAACTTGAATTGTAAATGCGGCAGTGGGTTTACTCTCACAGCGGTGAGTGCTGTACTACTGACGAATTGGCACGTTCTGTTTACGTGACAACCCCTTACCAATTGGCTGTGGCAGGTTGGTGGCGGGTTTAACGACACATTTATATATTTTAAGCGATCTAACCCAAGTAAAAAAAACTCTTATCAATCAGCAAAATATCTGCCAGTCAAAGTCCGTCCGTTGGTCGTGATAACTCCGAGTGACATTTTAGTGGGACGTTGTGTTGGGTTACTGCCCAGAACGGGATCCGAGCTAGCTCTGCAACATCAACTTCCGCACGCGCATGTTCTCCGACACACAAACGACAGCTCAGCAAAGCGGCTCATCACCATCATGTGGAAATGTACAGCAAGCAGGTAAATACTCTGAAAGCGTGTTTCTAAATGTGGAGGGGAAAGCCGGAGGACCCGGAGATAAATCCACGCAGTCACCACGGGGAGAGAGAGAGACATGCAAATTCCAAATACACAGCAGCAGACGTCGTCAGGGTCGGGATCGGACCCACGACCTCCTGCATACCAGGCGAGGTAGTCAACATCTCCTAGCCACCGTGATGATGATGAGAGAGAGAGAGACGCAAACTCCAAATATACAGCAGCAGGCGTCAGGGTCAGGATCGAACCCAGGACCTCCTGCGTACCAGGCGAGGTAGTTAACATCTCCTAGCCACCGTGATGATGAGAGAGACACGCAAACTCCAAATACACAGCAGCAGACATCGTCAGGGTCGGGATCGAACCCACGACCTTTAGACCAGGCGAGGTAGTTAACATCTCCTAGCCACCGTGATGATGAGAGAGAGACACGCAAACTCCAAGTATACAGCAGCAGACATCGTCAGGGTCAGGATCGAACCCACGACCTCCTGTATACCAGGCGAGGGAGTTAACATCTCCTAGCCACCGTGATGATGATGGGAGAGACACGCAAACTCCAAATATACAGCAGCAGACATCGTCAGGGTCAGGATCGAACCCACGACCTCCTGCATACCAGGCGAGGTAGTTAACATCTCCTAGCCACCGTGATGATGATGGGAGAGACACGCAAACTCCAAGTATACAGCAGCAGGCGTCAGGGTCGGGATCGAACCCAGGACCTCCTGTACACCAGGCGAGGTAGTAAACATCTCCTAGCCACCGTGATGATGATGAGAGAGACACGCAAACTCCAAATATACAGCAGCAGACGTCAGGATCGAACCCAGGACCTCCTGTACACCAGGCGAGGTAGTTAACATCTCCTAGCCACCGTGGCGCCCCATACGAACTCGGTCATCCGAGTTTGATCGCGAGCCACGCGGCTTAACAACATCAGTTGGCGAGTGACGAATCAGAATCTTTGTCATTCGACTCCAGGAGGAATCCGATGAGCTATGAAGCTCTTTGTTAATTGCACAGACGTCAGTCCTGCCCCTCCCCCCTCCCCCACACAGCCACCGCACGGCCCAGCGTGGTGAAGTATGGTCAAACGAACCCCATCCACCCAAACCTCCCATCCAGCAGTGGATGGAGCAAAGCGCCCCCCACGGTTCACGGGCCCGTTGGGGGGGGGAGGGGGGAGACGAGAGGGTCGCGCTCCCATTGGCTGCCGAGGTGGCGCCACGCGCGAGAGGCGCCCTCCGATTGGTCGAGAGAACGCGGCAAACGCTAAATAACAATTTAGCATTTGGCGATTGAATTATATGTGTCTACGTGTGTGTATATGTGTGTGTGTGTCTATGTGTGTGTCTACGTGTGTCTACGTGTGTGTATATGTGTGTGTGTGTCTATGTGTGTGTCTACGTGTGTGTGTGTGTCTATGTGTGTGTGTCTACGTGTGTCTATGTGTGTGTGTCTACGTGTATGTGTGTCTGCGTGTGTCTACGTGTGTGTGTGTGTACGTGCGTGTATATGTGTGTGTGTCTACGTGTGTGTGTGTCTACGTGTGTGTCTTTGTGTCTATGTGTGTGTGTGTCTACGTGTGTGTATGTCTACGTGTGTATATGTGTATGTGTGTCAATGTGTGTGTGTCTACGTGTGTGTCTATGTGTGCGTGTCTATGTTTGTGTCTACGTGTGTGTGTCTACGTGTATGTCTACGTGTGTGTGTATGTCTACGTGTGTGTGTATATGTGTCTGTGTGTCTATGTGTATGTGTGTCTGTGTGTGTCTTTGTGTCTATGTGTGTGTGTGTCTACGTGTGTGTGTAGTGTGGGTGTGAGTGTTGTGTGTGAATCGAACTCGGGTGGGCCCAGGTTCGTGGCGCAGCGTAGCGCTAACCACTGCGCCACCGCTCCCCACACACACACAAAGACAAAGATCCCCCGTGTAGCCTTAACAGGCTGCAGGGGCAAGTGCTGTTATAGCGAGTAGCAGCACCTATGAAGGCCGGAACGGCACACGAGGGGGTGGGTGGCCAGCAACACCCAAACACACACACATAGACACACACACGCACACATAGACACACAGACATAGACACACAGACAGACAGACACCCAAACACAGACACACAGACACGCAGACACACACTCACACAGACACAAAGACACGCGGACACACTCACAGACACACATAAAGACACACGCAGACAGACACGCACACACAGACAGACACACAGACACAAACAGACACGCACACGTAGACACGCACAGACAAACTCCACAACAACACGGCAGAGCAAGGGAGTTTGTAACACACCGCGCGGGCTACACCCAACTCTGGTTCATGCGACTCGTGTGTGTGGGGTGTGAGTGTGGTGCGTGGGTGGTGGTGTGGTGGGGCGTGAGTGTGGTGTGAATGTGGTGTATGTGTGGTGTGGTGTTGGTGTGTGTTGTGTGTGGTGGGTGTTGTGTGTTGCGTGTGGATGTGGTGTTGGTGGTGTAGTGTGGGTTGTGGTGTTGGTGTGAGTGTGGTGTGTTTGTGTGGTGGTGTGTGGGTGTGGTGTTTGTGTGGTGTGTGTTGTGGTGTTGGATGTAGTGTGGGTGTGGTGTTTGTGTGAGTGTGGTGTGTTGTGGATGTGGGTGTGGTGGATGCCCACCACTCGGCACACGTTTACTCACCAGAGCCAGCACCATCGCTGCGAGCCTCACAACTCACAACTTGCGCTAATGGAGACGCTGATTCGTGGAGTGGGTGGTAGTGATGGTGAGTGGTGGTGATGGTGATGATGGTGGTGGTGGGGATGGTGAGTGGTGGTGATGGCGTGGTGAGGATGATGGTGAGTGGGTGGGTGGGGCGGTGGGAGTGAAACGAGGACTCAAAGCGCCCTGGGGGCACCGACAAAGTTGAAAACACAAAAGGGGCCGTCCATAAATGACGTCACGCAATTTTGACCCCTCCCCACTCGTCACACGGCGTCACAAAGTCAGACCCCCCCCTTAAATGTGACGTCACAAAGCTCTGCCCCCCCCACCCCCCAAAACCATGGTTCCATTCTAAAAATAAAACATGCTTCAAATCGCTTTAAACTATTGTCATTGTAGTGCGTATTTCATGTGGCGCTGCACTCCGATGTTGTAGGAGAAAACATTTATTAATTTTATTAAGTTATTATTTTATTATTTCCATTCTACGTGACTTTACCGAAAGAACCAAGAAGATGAATCCCTGCAGTCACGAAAGCTTTAAATCGAAATTTAAGTTTTATTGTTGTATATTCCGAGTGGCTTGTTCATGTGCACGCGCGGAGCCCCAGTGCGTGTCTATTGTTGTGTCGATGCCGAGTGATCTATTCTTGTGCTGCCCTCAGAGCGTCTTGCAATGCTGCAGTGTCTCACGCGCCCATTCGTCAAGCTCAGCCAATCAAACACGTTGGAAGGGGTGGCCTAAAATGCTAATTATGTACGGAAGCGCCGCCTATTGGTCAATGAATCACGTTCACGGACGCGCCTCGACTTACGAACGGGTTGAGTTCATGAGATCCGTGCGTAAGTCGGGGTGTCCGTAAGTCGGAGTGTCCGTAAGTCGGACTTTAGCTGAGCCTGGCCAAGCGGCGCGGGAAGAGCCGGGGGGTTGTTTGACCATACTTCCCCATTCAGGTTTAGTGCGGAAGTTGGTGGTGAACGCTGTGAGCATTGTAAAGTACATGGCGGTCCACATGTCCTGTGACCCCCCCCCCCAAACCATTTTAATTCTCTTCAAACTCAATTATTTTTTGTGCACCAATGGGTTGTGACAAGAAGGATTTATTTAAGCCCGAAGCAGGCGGAGGAGGATTTCTCCACAACTCTGTGGCTCTCGCCCAATGACGCAGCTGGTCTTTGTTATTGCCGGCGAAACGTCACGAAACTCGAATGGTCAATGTTGTCCGTGCAGGGGTCACCTGCACTACACGACGGAGCGCTGCCCCACCAAGCAGCTGGAGATGATACATCATCTGTCTAATAATAAACTAAATTTAGAAGAAAAAAAAGATTTATTTCAACGTGAATTGCCTAAAGAAGACAACATTTTAAGTTGTCCGTATCACAAAGCGCTGCTGCCAACGCGACGTTTTGGCCGCTTGTGTTGAACCAGAGAGTATCACTCCGAAATATTCACCTCGAAATTATTTGTCGAGTCGTGTCAGCTGATCTTTCATTGTTCTCGAAGCTTCGGGCAGCGTCGAAGGGGTTTGTGTGGTGTGGACTTGGAGGGTCGTGGAGCCGGCATTTGAGTGCTTTGTTGATTTCTATCGTTGTAGATTTGAAGTTTTCGTGACTGCAAGGATGCACACTCTTTGGTTTTACCGTATCAATTGATACGGTAATTTTGCTGTGACGGTTCCACCTGAAGACGGAAGCTTGTGTTGCCTCCGAAACGTCGTGATTTATTTGTTTTCGTTTTTAACCTACGTGACTTTACCCGAAAAAACCCAGAGTATGGATTTGTATCCTGTTCGATCTCGACTTGAAGCTTTCGTGACTGCAGGAATCCATACTCTTTGGATCTTTCGGTAAAGTCATGTGGGTAGAAAATAAAATAAATCACGACGTTTCGGGCGCAACACAAGCAGCGTCCGTCATCAGGTGCGCCCGAAACGTCGCTGATTTATTTTATACCCACGTGACTTTACCGAAAGTACAAAAGCGTTTGTTTCGTGTTGTGTACGAACGCTTACCGTGGGTAGATAAGACAGTTGTACGACTTTCACGGGAAGGCCTAGAACACGAGGGCTTTTTTTTTTTATAAAACCATCATCATCATATTCTTAGGTTTTTTGGTAAAGTCACGTAAGTAAAAAATTTTAATGAAAGTTAAATTTCTCTCACTTGATACAGCTATCGTGCTGTGACGGTTCCACCTGAAGACGGAAGCTTGTGTTGCCTCCGAAACGTCGTGATTTTTATTTTACTTTTATTAATAAAACATTTTTACCGACGTGACTTTACCGAAAAAACCTAAGAATATGAATCCTTGCAGTCACGAAAGCTTCAAATCTAGAACCATCATCATCATGTCAGAGATCACTCACAACAGGCCCACCTCGTGAAGAATATCCCGAGTTGGGGGGGGGGTCAAGGCGAGCCATGGAGGCGTTTTCCCGTCCAAGCCGGTGAGTAGCTTTTATTAGTTGTGTACACAACTCAAGCGAAACACACAAAAAACCCCAACGCGACATCCTCCTCGTCGACATCGCCGCTGCTGCATTTTGCCCCTCGTGAGAGAGAGGGGAGAGAAAAAAAATGACAAACCGCGATTCCAAAAATACCTCATCGTATATTACAAGGAATATCCACACGCAAATTTCCACACGTCTTAAATGCGTTTTAAACAGTACCATCTTCTTCCTCTGCCTCAATGTAACGAGATAATTTACCAACAAACTGTATTGAACTGTCGTGTTTTTTTGCGTGTTTTATATATTTTTGTATCACTTCGGTTTTTATTATTATTAACTTTTAATACACCGCTAAGTAGTTTTTTTTTTTACAACTTTTGGGTGCAAATGCTACCCATCGGGTAAAAGGGGGTCCCCTGTGCATTGCTTTGTCAAATGCGGAAAGTTTCCGCCGATATATAGGCACCGAGATGCTGTCGCCCCAAGTCGAAAAACGCAACCTTGGGGGTTATAGGGGGTGGAGACTCGAGGCGCGTGTGACGATGGATCTGATTGGCTAACGGCTCCGCCGTTCGTCGTCACAATAGGACCACGTCACAATGGACGACGTCACAACGGGCCACGTCACAACGGACACGGCGCGCTCGAGGTCGGGGCGCGGTACGCGCGCGTTGGGAGAGGGCGCGCGTCGCTGGCCCAACAACAAACAACAAACAAACAACTGCCGCTCGTCACCGAGTTGGCGGCGACGTCCACCACGGCGTTGTCCACCACACGAGGCGGCGGCCCTCCTGACGCCGTGACGAAGGCTCGCTCGCCGGCAGGCGGTCACGGGACAGACCCAGGTGCCGCGTGCGCGGGTCAAACTCATCCCAGGGCACCCAGGACGACCATAGACAGAGTGACCTTCGCCGACCTCCACATTAAAAGCCAGACATCGATATGGGGGTTGGGGGGGGGGCTAAAGTCTCTTGCAAAAAAGGAGACCTGGGGGTAAGAATACAATCAAAGGCCATTTTCTCTCCGCAGCGAGAGAATTTGAGCAAAATGCGTGAGTCTGGAAATCGGCACGTGTTGTTATCCTGTCTTCGATACGACTGTTTGAGCATCGTCGTCGTCATCATCATTATTAAAGCATGTTTCTAATATTCCAAACGCAGGTGTGGTTATATAAAATTGTTTGGGGGTCGTTTTAAAGTCATCAACATTTAGCGCGGGCATACAAACAGTAACTCCCCTAGGATCGCTAAATCTACTGTACACTTTTATAAAAATCTGCTAAGAATGCCGATACAACTTTCCCTCTCTCTTCTATGAGAATCTAACATTTGAAGAAACTCTTTGTGAGCGAAGAATGGGGGGGGGGGAGGTGGGCGATAAACCTATGCAAAGGCAAATATCCCCCATATAGCCTTTTAACAGACTACGAAGGCCGGCACGGCACACGAGAGAGGGTGCTGTTTGTGACCAGAAACCACGCCCGGCCGCCTTTGTCTCCCCAGTGGCGATGTTTAACACACCGCTCCGGCTACTCACTCGGAGGCCGGGTCGACAGTACCGGTTCAGATAATGGGTCGCAAACGCTGCCCGCGCACACAAACACACGCCTACATATGCGCGCTCGTGAAAAATGCTGAACTCCTCCACCAGGTTCAGGTTGCCTGGGGGGGGGGGGGGGCGGTTAGACCGTGGCGTCACTTGGCGATGTCTGAAGACAAGCCCCGGAAGCCCACGAGCTCACGAAAGCGATGTAGAAAAAGTTGAACCGGTGTTAAAATAAAGTTAAAAAATATATATATGTGTACGCTGTCGATATTGTTTTTAAAGCCATGCAAAAGTGCTTTCAAATGTTGACTAACACCGTTCACCAAGGGGTTAAAGTGAGAACACTTGTTACTTTTGTATTCGTCGTTTTAAAAGCACAAGCTAGTGGAGAACAATATTTACATAAATAAAACCACGAAACAATGTAACTGGAATTCAAACGAGGGCACGCAGATTGAGTTTGTATTCTTTTTCTGTGGGTGGGGGTTGGTGTGGGGTGGGGGAGTCTAACCTTAACATAAAAAAAATCACTTAAAAAATACAAAGACACGAAAAGCGACCGATCCCGGTCTCGTGAAGGCAGGCGCTGTGCTAGAATAGGCCGGCATCGGCGAAAATGACACGGAGGCGATGGTGGTGAAGTTGGTGGTGACGGTGGTGGTGACGATAGCGGTGAAGATGGCGATAAAGTTGAAGTTTGGTGGTGACGATGGTGGTGACAATGGCGGTGAAGATGGCGATAAAGTTGAAGTTTGGTGATGAAGTTGGTGGTGACGACGGCGGTGACGATGGCGTTTAAGTTGGAGTTGAAGTTGAAGTTTGTTAATGACGTTGGTAATGAAGTTGGTGGTGACGATGGCGGTGACGACGGCGGTGACGATGGCGTTGAAGTTGGAGTTGAAGTTGGTGAAGTTTGTTGATGACGTTGGTAATGAAGTTGGCGGTGACGATGGTGACGATGGTGGCGACTGTGGCGAGCTGACACAGCATGGGTGGGCAGCGGTCGTGCTGCGACCGCTCGTTCGCTACCACGGCGACTTCCCTTCCCCCATCCTCGTTGAGATCGCTGCAAAGGCGCGGCTGGCGGTGACAGCCAGCGCCTTAGAGGAGGGGGATGCGGAGGGGGAGAGGAGGGCGAGGGGAGGAGGAGGGGGGGGAGAGGGGGGGAAGAAGGAGGGGGGGAGGAGGAGGGAAGGAGGGGGGGGAAGGAGAGGGGGGGGAAGGAGGACGGGGGGGGGGGAGGGGGGTGGGAAGCAGGGGGAGGGAAGGAGGGGGGGCTGAGCACTCGAGCGAGTGGAAGCGATGCATTAGTTTAGCTGTTTACTACTACTACCCACTACTACGACTACTACCCACTACTACGACTACCCACTACGACGCCCCGCCCACTCGACACTCCGCACCGCCCCCTCCTCCTCCCCAACGAGATCTGTGTTTCACAGTAAAATCCGAGGATGTATAAAATTATTATTAATATTAACACGGCTACTCATCATTAACATTATAATACAGCATACCGGGGGGGGGGGGGGGTGGGGTTATTCAAACTTACCAGCGACTAAATGTATTTGCGAGTAAAAACAAAAAGCCAAAACTACAAACTTTAAAAACAAAACCTACAAAGGTGATAACATTAATAGTACACACACGCACACTTGTAATAAAATATAGCTATGAACCGTTATTTAGATTGTAACGCGAATGAGAGATAAGCTGGTAGAGATGGGGGGGGGGTGCGATGCCGGACGGCGTTTCGACTTAGCAGGCACAAGGTGAGATGGTTTTTTACTTAAATTAATCAATTCAAGGGAGCCATGAACTCCAATGTCGCGCAGCTGATGCAGCAGAAGCCCTCTCTCCTGCTGCCAACACGTGGCCACTGGGGGGGGGGGGGGGGGTACCATCACCACCGCACGCTGCAGGCGGCCCAAGCACGACGCGTCGCTTGGATGGAGACCACGCGGCACGAAATCAGCTGGCCGTGTGTTAGTGTGTTAGTGTGTGTTTAGTGTGTGTGTTAGTGTGTATCACTGTGTGTCAGTGTGTTAGTGTGTGTGTTAGTGTGTTTAGTGTGTATCACTGTGTGTCAGTGTGTTAGTGTGTTAGTGTGTGTTAGTGTGCAAGTGTGTGTGTTAGTGTGTATCACCTGTGTGTTAGTGTGTATCACTGTGTGTTAGTGTGTATCACTGTGTTAGTGTGTATCACTGTGTTAGTGTGTATCACTGTGTTAGTGTGTATCACTGTGTTAGTGTGTATCACTGTGTGTTAGTGTGTGTTAGTGTGTGTGTTAGTGTGTATCACTGTGTGTTAGTGTGTATCACTGTGTGTTAGTGTGTATCACTGTGTTAGTGTGTATCACTGTGTTAGTGTGGATGTGTGACCAGATGTGTACGATTTTAACGACACCGGGGGGCACAGCCAACAACGCCATCCGTGCCACACAGCCCCTGCCACAGGGACACGCATGCTCTCACCCCCCTCCAGCGTAACCACATCATTCCTCACGCCGCGTCTTCCCGCGATGGTGCATTTTCTGGATTTGAAAATAAAAAGCGAAAAATGACCCCGAAGTTTTGGTTTCGCGTCTTACGTCCCGACTGAGCGTCTAAATCATCCGAGTACGGTGAAAACCGCCCTACGGCGCAAACACACCCTACCCTACCTACGACTTGCAGCCTTCGCTCGCCTACAGCCTCACTCCGCAAACCTACCCCCCCGCGCGCGGCCCTCTCCGCGTACAGGCCGAACAACTCGCAACGAAAACTACAGCCTCCAGGTTACAGCGGACGCCACCTGCCTACGGGGGGTGGGCATCCGACGCTCACGCGCAGCCGGCCCCTCAAAACTGTCGTTGTCGCCGGAGGTGCCGTCTCTGCTGCCGCTGACAAGTCGGCAGCAGGCTCCTCCGCGCTCTTCCCTTGCGAGCGGGGACCACCGCCGATTCCACCACCGCCACTGCCCCCCCCCGCCCATCACTCCCCACACCGCCTCGCTTAGATGAACGTCGGGGAGCGGCGAGGGGGGGGGGTTGGGGGTGCGGCTGCCTGGGCCCCCGAGCTCGGCAACCCGGCGGGGCTGCACGCAAACCGTCGGCAACTCGGCGTGATCATTTCTCTCTCTTGCAACGCGTCTTTTCGTACATTTTACAGTTTGCATAACGGATCGTCGCGTCGCGCGGGATGATCGCGGTGGTAGCGGCAGGTCGGCAGAGGAGGCCTTCATCCAGCAGCGGATTGGCCACGACGACGTTTGGTCTGTCGAGCACACGGAGCGTTGAGATGACACGCGAAGAGTCGGGCGACTCGGCCAGCTGCCCCCCCCCCCCCCACACCTTGTGGTAACGTCGTGTTATGGTAATGTGGGCCACCAACAGACGCCACTCCTGCGAGCCGTCACCGCTCAACCAGGCCCCGTCAAACCGCGCCCCGGGACTGCGGGCGACCCTCTCTGCCGCTCGGTTCCAACCCCCCAAAACCGACCCACTGGAGCGTGCGCGCCGCGGCGGTAGCGACAGAACATCATTTGGCTTTCCCGCGGTTACTTTAATCCTAAACTATCGCTAGGGGGGAGCGGGGGAGGAGGAATTTTCGTTTTAAAAATTGCGTTGATACGCGGCAACGAGGGTCCCCCCCCCCCCCCACTCCCACTCGACGTAGCGACCCCCCCCGGGGCGGGCGGGTGGGCGAGGTCGTAAGGTCGGGGTCCGCTGCCGGTGGGGTGGACCCACGAGCGATCGATCGAAGCCGCCGGACGCCCCGGTCGCACGTCCGCTGCGGACCGTGGCTCGCCCGCACCGCCCGCACCGCCCGCACGCCACTTCTTCATCCGGTAACGCCGCCGCTCGTCGTCGGGGCTCTGTAGCGATCGCCGGCATGACGACGGCGAGAGACGCGCGGCCGCCCGCGGGGTTCTCCTTGCGGCCGCGTTCTCGCAGACACCTCTTCTCGTTCCTTCATCGTCGTCGTCCTCTTCCTTCACCTCTCCCGCCAGGTGGATGACACCTAGAGGGCGGGGGGGTTTCAAAGGCAACGGTGAGACGGAGGGTGCCGCCGCAAGCACGAGCACTCATGCCGAGATGTCAACCACAGCGGTAGCCATGAGCCCCAGATTGTTCTGAGTGGGTGAGCGAGTGGGTGAGCGAGCGGGTGAGCGAGTGGGTAGACGAGTGGGTGAGCGAGTGGGTGAGCGAGCGGAGGAGCGGGCGGGTGAGCGAGCGGGTTGAGCGAGCGGGTGAGCGAGTGGGTGAGCGAGTGGTTGAGCGATTGGGTGAGCGAGCAGAGGAGCGGGCGGGTGAGCGAGTGGGTGAGCGAGCGGGTGAGCGAGCGGGTGAGCGAGCGGAGGAGCGGGCGGGTGAGCGGAGCGGGTGAGCGAGTGGGGTGAGCGAGCGGAGGAGCGGGTGAGCGAGCTAGTGAGGGAGCGGGTGAGCGAGCGTGTGGATGTGCGAGTGCCTGAGCAAGCGAGCGAGTGGGTGAGAAAGTCCATGAGCGAGCGGGTTGAGCGATTGGGTGAGCGTGCAAGCGGATTATAGAGTGGGTGAGTGAGTGAGCGAGCGGGTGAGCGAGCAAGCGAGCAAGTGGGTGAGCGAGTGGGTTAGCAAGTGGGTGAGCGAGTGAGTCTCTCACCGCTGAGCTGAGCGGAAACCTTGGCGTTCTAAACAAACGCAAAATGGCTCCCGCCGCCGGGCGCCGATGCTCCTGGGAAGGGGAGGCCCCCTTCGTCGGGAAGTGAGTTTGGCTGTCGGGCGGCAGGAAACAAAACCAGAGAGCGGAGCGACAGGCGTGAGGAACGCGGAGTCTCGCGTCGGCCGGGTCGGTCACCCGAAAATAAACCCTCGCTCCGGCACACACCGCACGTCCGGTATACGCCCCGCTCCGGCCGCGGCTACGAACCGGTCGAGTGCCAGAGGTCGCAACCGGGTACTCGATACCCGTACCCTACCCGATACCCGGCTACCCGTACCTGGCCGGGTACGGGTACGGGTAGCCGTTTGCGACCCTGGTGCGGCCGGGTACGGGTAGGCTGTGAGTCACTGGTGAGTCACTGGTGAGTCACTGGTGAGTCACCGTTTGTCACTCATTTCGGGTAGGGTACGGGTACGGATAGGGAATCAAAACCCGTTTGCGACCTCTGTCCAGTGCCGCCCACTGCATTTTACCAGCGACCCGGTGAACAAACGGCGAGGCGCGAAACCCCGGTGAAGGTGACCCACGGAATACCGCGCGCCGAGTTCTGCCGATGCGTGGCCGTGCTGCCCGCGGCGGCGGTGGTGCCGTACCGGCCACGGCCTTGCTCCGCTGGCACGCCTCCGCGGCGAGGGCGCACGACATGCTGATGATGCCTCCTGCTCCTGCACGTGCGCCTCCACCTTGCCCTGCGCCACCTCGCGGCTCGCCGGCGACGGCAGCGGCGCCACGTTCTGCACGCTGGCGACGCGGAGGGGGGCGGGGCAACGTGATGGTGGGCGGGCGGTCGCGGTGGTCCGCGGTTTGAAACCGGAAGGCGGCCCCGGTTAATACTGTGAAGCGTCGTGACGCGTGTGCGTTCAAGTTCAAGTTCATTTATTATGTATAGCCCTGTGAGCCATTCGGCTCTTGAATCGGGTGCAACCGCAACAAACAAAAAAACCAAAAACATGAACAAGAAAACATCTTTAAGTGACTATGTGACTAAGTGCAAACAGAAAATCCAAGAAAAGACAGCAAAATATTGCAGAAAAAACACCGTACACCAACGCTGTGTGCAAAATCCCAGTGGGATGCAAGTCAAACAACAACAACCACAAGACAACTTAGATTAAGGCCATCAGTCTAACTCTGTACTACAACAAACAACATGGACAAACCGAAAACTGTTCGAAATCACCAAAGTAAAGCCATAAAAGCAATGTGACGACACGTGTGCGACAACGCTGTACCTGGACTTGGCGAGCATCGCCTTGATCCGCTCCACGTTCTTCTGCCGCGCCTCCATTTCCAGGGGGCTCAGCGGCTCCTCGGGGTCCTCGTCCACGTAGCGCTCGGGCACCATCACGTGGTGACGAGGGGGGGACACCTGCTGGCCGGGGGGAGGGGCGGGCGGGGGGAGGGGCATAACCGGCTCGTCGTCAACATCATCGCTCCCATTATCAACGGTAACATCATCGTCACCGTCAAATACCGTTGCAAACATCATAACCACGCTCGTTAATACGGTCATCGTCATGGCAATCGTCATCGTTGTCGTAACTACGGTTATCATTGCTGCCTTCGCCATCATCATAGACATAATTATCATTGCTATAATCACAATCATTTTCAACATCACGACAAACGCTACCATTGCCCTTTATGGCTGTGATCACCAACAGACACAGAACAATGCTCAGATTAGGATCTCTCTCTCCGTGACCTCCTGCCCGACCTCCGGCTCCTGATTGGAACCCAAAAACCCAGAACTCTCAGCAGCATTTGAAGCATCACCGCCAAGCGCACATCTCTCACCGCCCCCAACACCTCCCCCCGCCTCTTCTCACTCACCAACCAGATATATCTCTCAATCCAGACCCGGATCTCCACCCACTGACCTATAACCCTGGACCACCTCTGACCTTGGCCGTCTCTCACCCCTGACCCTCACCGTGTCTCACCCTGACCCCGGCTGTGTCTCACCTCTGACCCCGGCTGCGTGCCACCCCTATGACCCCCGCCATCTCACCACCGACTTTCACCCAGGACGTGGCTGCGTCTCACCTCTGACCCTCACCGTGTCTCACCCCTAACCCCGGCTGTGTCTCACCTCTGACCCTCACCGTGTCTCACCCCTGACCCCCGGCTGCGTCTCACCTCTGACCCCGGGTCGTAGCTGCCGTCGAGCTCCGTGCCGGCGGTGCGGAGCCGCGCGATCTCCTGCGCCGGCGTCTCGGGCGCCGACGCGTCCTGCACGGCGCGCTCCAACTCGGCGATGTCCAGGTCGTCCTTGCGCTGGCTCACCTTCATGAGCTGCAACGACGCGGCGGCGGTGGTGGTAAGGCAGGCGGATACCACACGCCACGGCCTCATGGCCCACAGCCTCACCCTCGCCCAGTGTCTCACCCAGTGTCTCACCAGTGTCCTCACCCAGGTCTCACCAGTGTCTCACCCAGTGTCTCACCCAGTGTCTCACCCAGTGTCTCACCCAGTGTCTCACCCAGTGTCTCACCCAGTGTCTCACCCAGTGTCTCACCCAGTGTCTCACCCAGTGTCTCACCCAGTGTCTCACCCAGTGTCTTCACCAATGTCTCATGCCCACGGGCCTCATGGCCCACCGTCTCGCCATGGTGTCTTCACCGCGATAAAATGTACCATATTTGTTGACGCCAGGCCCACAGAGTGGTAATAACGCGGAATGGCGGCACCTCAACGGAGCAACGGCGCAAAAATCCACAAAGCCTACACCTAGTGTAACGTGTCGACTGACTGGGAGGGCCGTCCTCGCTCTGTGTTACCTTTGTACGTGCCATAGGTTGACTGACTGAGATAGACTGGCAGATGCACCACCTGTGCCCCCCGACTGTGCCAACAAACAGACTGTTGGCGGCAAATGCTGCGAGCGAGTAGCAGCACCTATGATGGTCGGCACGGCACACGAGGACATGCCAGCCCCAACCCACACACACACAGGGCACACACACCCAGGGCACGTGCCAGCCCCAACCCACACACACACAATGCACACACACACACACGGCACGTGCCAGCCCCAACCCACACACACACAGGGCACACACACACACACACAGGACACACCACCAGGACACACACACAGGGTACCACACACACACAGGGCACACACACACAGGGCACACACACACACAGGACACACACACAGGGCACACACACACAGGGCACACACACACACAGGGCACGTGGCAACCCCAAACACCTCACACACACACACACCTGCGAGACGTCCACGGACGCGGGGCCGAGCGGGCGACTGCGCCGCCAGGATGGTCCGGCGGTCGAGCGTCATCGTGTGGCCGCGTCGGCGCGGAGCGGCGCGGCCCGACCCCCCCGCGGGGTCACCGTCGTCGTCGCCGCGTCCCCCCCGCCACCGCCCCCCCCGGCTGCCACCGCCGCCGCCTTCTGGTTGAGCTTGAGCCGCTCCAGTTGCTCCCTCAACGCTCATCTTGCCCCGGCCGGCACCGCCCGCGGGACCGCCCGCCGGGTACAGCGCGTCCATCGCGCTCTTGGGCCGCTCCTAGCAATGACGAAGACCACGATGACGATGATGACGGCCACGATGGCGATGAATGGCGACGATGATGACGATGGTGGTGACAAACGGGCGGACGCTCGCAACGATGAGCAAACGGTCTCAACAATGAGTGACACTCGCAACGATGAGTGACGCTCACAAACAACGAGCGACGCTCACAAACAACGAGCGACGCTCACAAACAACGAGCGACGCTCACAACAACGAGCGGAGCGGCGGGTGGATAGAACGCGCAACTTGCCTTGGCCCCATTCGACTTGGCGCGACGCAGCGTGACGTAGGAGGCGATGGTGGTCGACTGCATCTGTCCCGGCTGGACAGCGGGGGGACAACTCCGACAAGCGACGTGAAGACTGGGGGAGACAACCACCGCCGCACAGGGACACGTGGGGACACACGGGAGACACAGGGACACACGGGAGACACACAGGGACACACGGGGACACGTGGGGACACGCGGGAGACATGCGGGGACACACGGGAGACACACGATGATGAAACAGGAGGACAAGGAGACCCGGGGATGCACCGGGTTGTGACGACACGCGGACACCTCAGACGCGTGGACACAAGGCCACAGAGACACGCACGTGCACGCAAGGACGCGTGTGAGCGCACGAGCACCAGGACGCACAAGCACGAAGGGGCACGGCGGAAACACCACACACAGGGATGAACGTACGTACGAACATTCACACGCAAATATTTTTTTGGGTCTTTCGGTAAAGTCACGTCGATAGGTTCAAAGAAAATAACTCAAAATAACAAAACAGAAGCGGTGACGACCGCTTGTGTTGCGATGGAAACATCGTAGTTTTTTTGTTATTTCCTTTGAACCTATCGACGTGACTTTACCGAAAGACCCAAAGAATATTAATTCCTGCAGTCAGGAAAGCTTCAGGTCGAGATTCACACACAAGATTCACACGGCCACGCACGCACCGTGACGCACGGGCACCGGGACACGCGCTCGCACGGGGACGCGTGAACGCCAGGGCGGTGGACACCACGCGGACACCACGCGGACGGGCCGGCGACACCGGGGCGGGGCGAGCCGTCCCACTCGGGGGGACACCGCCCCCACGCTCACCCTTCTGCTGCTGCTGTTGCTGCTGCCGGTCGCTGGAGCCGTTGCTCTTGCCCTGCTGCGGTTGGTGGTGAGCGACCTGCGGCAACACCACACGGCGCTCGCACGGTGAGGCTCCCCCCGCCGCCACGGCCGACGCCTAAACCTCGACCCGACCTCGACCCGACCTCGGTTATAAAAAAACTCGCCCCCAGAGTCTGCGCCTGGCCCTGTCACCGGCCTATTTCTGACCTTGCCGTGACATCTACGCGACCTCGCCGTGACCTCTGTGTGTGACTGTGCCTGACCTCCGCGATTATTTCTCTCTCTCAGTAGTGATGACAACGGGTATGGTGACTATGATGATGGTGACTATGACGATGGTTACTATGACGATGGTTACTATGACGATGGTTACTATGACAATGGTGACCATGACGACGGTGACTATGACGGTGGTTACTATGGCCATAGTTACTATGACCATGGTTACTATGACCATGGTTACTATGACCATGATTACTACGACGATGGTTACTATGGCGCTGATGACTATGACGACGGTGACTATGACGGTGGTTACTATGACGATGGTTACTATGACTATGGTTACTATGACCATGGCGACGACGCCGCCGCCCCCGGCCCGTACCTTGGCGTCGCCGTTGGTGAGTTGCTCTCCGGACGCGCCGCCAGCGTAGGGCGACCCCCAGCTGCTGCCCGCGAGCGCCGGCC